GTGCAATGCTACAGGGCTACAGAGATCCCCAGAGAAATTCCTTTTACCACCAGGAGACTCTACATCAGCCACAGCAAAATTAAGCAACTCCAGGTAAGAAAACCCAGAAAAAGTACTTTTTGTAGTGCACAGTAATTGAAAATTGGACTTCCCAGATGATGGTGGCATCTAGTGAGGAGAGAATCTTATTCCATGTTCTAAAAACTGACAAAGTGCTGCCAAATCTGGTTTTATTTTTACTTACTCTTTAAGGATATGTAAATATATTCCTGTAGTGTTTTCATGTTCCCGCAGTCTCCAAGCACTAGTTCATGCTGTCAAAATGATACCTTGTATGAAACTCAAAAAAATGGTATTTTACAACTAGCAGCCAAAGGTTGACTTGTTTTATATATGGTGAAATAACCATTGACTTTCACAGTAATTTTTTAAACTTGTTAAAAGCTTTTTCTATTTTTGATACAATATAATACTTTTTCACAGTAAAATGAAAGGGTTTATGTAATTAGAATAATTTCCCTAATGAATGAAATTGAAGCTCTTTTTCTCCTCTTGAGCTGCAAGTGTCAAGTACAACTGCTATTAGAAATGACAGAGGCAGTAAGTTTGAATCTAAGGCACAGCATGAGATGTTTCTAAAAGCAAGGCCAGGCCTATCTAATAACCCACATAAATGAGAGCAGCTTCTAACCAAAGCTGCTAGCTATTTGTGCTATTGAAAAAGTTTATTCTGGGTTTCTTGAGGCACTGGTTCATTTTATTAAAGGCATCATTTTATGCTCATCTTGCACTGCACCCTGGAATAGTGCTTCTTTGTTTCCTACCCTGGAATACATTATTTTTTTAATAAATTCACCTTGTAAGCACAGACACAAGGGAAATACAACCACCTGTATTACATATGCTTACTATGTATTACTACAAATAATAAGAAATTTGCAATTCAAATTAGATACATTTCAGAGCAGTTAAATTTTTTGTAAGAGAAAATGTATCTTTAATTTTTCTCTCAGGACTAAATGAAGTAGGCTGGAAGGCAGCTTAGAGCAGCATCTAGAATGCCTATTGCTCACTGACAAATAGTGACTGTACAGTTTTCCTCTGAGAAAGTTTTCTCTTTTAGCTGCTACTAATATCTCTGGCTTTCTTGTTTTATCTCACTCACAAGAGTCAAACATTGGTGTGATTTAGTTGTACTCAGGGTAAACAAAAGGTTTGTCAAATTAATTCTGTATTAGCAAATATATTTTCTGTGCAAACTCTTCCCTCCTCCTCCCCATTATTTTCTTTGCAAGATAAGTAAGATGACCCATTTTCCGTTTCTTAGGTTAGGTGTCTCTACCTGCCAGTAATTCCTCAGTTACAAGTAAAGTGGCCTTCAGTTCTGACTAGAGCATAAGACAGATGCCATAAAGCATTGATATGTTGGATATGAGTGAATGAAGTAGTGGGATAAATGTTTTATGACCCATCAAAACAAATTGTGTGTGAAACCATTTAAGAAGAGACATTTTCACTTTGTACATAATTCCACTGGCTATGAGTCTCCCTTACTGCTACTACTGACTTTGCACCAAAAGGAAAGAAGTCCTTTCACACTATGTCCTTGTAGTCATGTAGGCTGTTTCCTTGAGATTATACTGGGTCTTTGGATATACTTTTTACTTTTTTTCCCCCCATGCAACAAATTATACATCTGAGGTCAGTTTTGACTTCATAAATACCTACACTTAATTTTTCACATCTGAGCAATTCCACTGGCACATATTATAGTGCTTAGGGAAAGGAAACATTTCTGCTTGTAAAGTACATGTCTGCAAGCACTGAAATAACTTTATAGGATTTTAGGATTTTGGTGTAGGATTTTTGTTCATTTGGCTGGTTTGATTTGGTTGTTATTATTTGTTTGGTTTTTAAAATTCCTTCATTTACCTACTCATAGAGAAAATAGCATACTTTCCTAAAGAAGCTGAACGGAAGCCCAGAATTCCCAAAGCTGACCTCCAAGAGACTTTTATATGTAAGCATTCACAAATATTGCAGTTTGGCAATTAGGTGCTTCAGAAGAATAAAAAAAATATTATTTTAGTTATTTCTGTACCTTAATTTGCATTGATTATTATTAAAATTGTGAAGTAATAATATTTTTAAAAAGAATATATGTTTATATGCTAAATCCAGTATGTTAAAAAAAAAAACAAGGAAAAGAGTAGATCTTTTTTTTTTTACCCTGGTCAATTTTGTATTTGTTCTGACAGGGCTGATCAGCATTAAGAACAATGGCTGGCACTTTTGCTTTTGGCAATTTTATAACCTGGGGTTTGTTATAATAAAAAGGCTTTATAATAACAATTTTCACATCTTTTTTCAATATTTTCTGCTTCCTCCTTGACGTGAAGATCAACTATAACTTTTTTATCTTAATTTAAAATTTAGTTTATATTTAACTATACTAGTAAGTGGGATTTTATGTGGTAAAAGAAAATCATCTACCTTGCCTCCACCATAGGCAACTGTTTTTAGAAAAAACTGCTTATAACATATCCCAAGTCACAGCAACTCAAAAGCCAAAAAAAAGTAATTGAAACATCAAATTCCTTAAAATGTTTGTATTAAATAACAGCATATTAGATCCAGTTTCAGGAGATCAATGTTTTAAAATATAAAGGTATAATAGTATCATTTTATAGGCAATCCAGTTAGAGAATAAAACAATGCTTCCTAGCAAAAAAAAAACAAAAACCTGGTGGGCTTTCAAATATGTTTCGATTCATATTAGAAAGATGGGGTGGTTTATAAAAGCATGGATAAATATTTAAGTCTCAAACCAGCGTGGTCACAAAGCTTAGCAATGCATACCAAATAGGTGGGAAACAGAAATGATAATAATCCACACTAAGAAGCTTAACGTCATTACAGAGCAAATGTCTGTATATTTACCTTCATGTAGCTCTCTGTCACTTAATAAGATGAAAATTAAGCCTCTCAGATACATAAAGAAATCAACTGAGGAAAAGCAGAAAACATTACTTTTGTATTTTATAGGAGAAAATGTGTTGAATTGTGAAGGTTCATAATTGCTTCAATTTCCATAAGATGGTTTCATAATTACATGTGATTATGTTTATGTGCTCTTGACCAATGCAGCTCATTCCTATGTACAAGATCACCTTCATAATCATGACCAAAACTGGACATCAGCAGTTCTGATATTGCTACATATACACAAAACACTGCATTACAGAAAGATAAAATTACATAATTTGGACAACTTTGTTGTTTACTGTTGAAAATATAAGATTTTTAATGGGGGAAGATTCCCTCATTTAATTTAAATATAATTGATGGAGAAACCTGCTTCAATAGAGGTTCCATATCTATACTTTCTCAGTAATTGCATCAAAATTTGCAATTCAGAAATTGATTTGCAATACAGAATAAAGTTAATCAGAAAGCAAAACTAAGGATACCACAGCAAATTGAAATCTGACTCATCTTTCACAGCTGTGCTGACTTTAATTTTAACAGAAGTTAAAATGAGTTTGTAGCTGAGATAAAGAGATACAGTCCAAAAATATGCAAGAGTTGGACAAATTAAGCTGTAAGACATCTTTTAACAGTCACCTTTATGAGCTGATTTCACTTCTACAAGTATGATAGTCAAATGTATCCAACCAGGATTATGGAACAAAATTACTACCCAGCACCTGTACTGGAAAAGGACTTGTACTGCCCTCGATGCAGATTCCTGACTGGGATGAGGGGTTGTGCCGAGGCTGTATAGCTTCCCCCACTGAGAGTAAAATGTGCTGGGAGCTACTAAGCCCTGGGGGAAATAGCAAGAATCTACTGTTATTTTAGCATCTCTAACTAGTGTGGTATTTCTGAGACCTGTAGTGAGATGTTTTTGGACATGGGAAGAGAAAACAGATGACTTTCCTTCCCACCACTCTTGTGCTTTTCTGGGGGGACTCCCATATAAATGACTTTTTAAGACTCAGTCAATGAGGTCAGTGGGAAGCGTGTCTCACAATTTCAGAAAACCAATGTTTTAGCAACTGGTGTGCTTGGAGAACTCCCTAGCTCACCCTCATTGCATACTTCCTCCTAGCTCAGCTTAGTGAAAGCTGCCAGATTCACTTAAGTTTGCTGCTTAACATGAGACACAAGATGGCAAGCTTTGTAAACAAGCACCTTCCAACAGAGCAGAAAAATAAGGAAAAAATTGTGTGCCTCTCTATATTATAGTCATAGTCAACATCTAAGTACAATTTACTACTGCAAAGCATCTGTTTATTACCAGCTTATAAAAACTAAGTTTCTGTGAAAATATTCTGTTCCACAGATGTGATTTCTCAGGCCAGGCTGATCTGACACTTTTGGTTTGATTGTATTAATATGTGAGGTTTTTATTTTAAAAGAAGGTAATGGGGGAGAGAAAAGTGTAGAATTTTAGTTTTCTACCAAAACAGTAGCAGGAGGTAAAGATATCCATGGATACTCCCTCTGGGGAATACATGCTGCAGTGACAGTACTGTTGATGCATGGAAATGGCTGTATTATGAACTCAAAAGTGCTCTAGCAAGCACCATTGAGCACAATGAACATTAACAACCATCCAGTCTCTGCAAAAATTTCTGCCACTGGTGATGTTAGCTTTCTATTTTATAAAGGCTATCCACCAGAAGGAAATAAAATGAGTATTCCTTCTTCAAATGTGTATGTTTGCTCAAAACCTGATACATCATAGACTTAAACCATAAAATTCTGGAAATGTAAATAAATACTGGCAAACCACAGGTACCTATAGTAATACCTCTACTGTTACCACTTATTTTAGTTTCTCATATATATATATATATATATATATATTTCTAAATATATTGTTTTTCAGCATATGCTAGCAATTGTCCAAGCATCCAGAAGTAGTAACCAGTGAAGGTATCTATAAAAGTACTATCATATTAATTTTTTTTTCTCTTTAAGTTTACTGACTTCAGGAGAATGTCAGTCCTTGAAGAGCTGGTCCTATTATGCAGTGGCATAGAATCAATAGAAAACAACACTTTTAAAGCTCTGAGCACCTTGAAGTCCCTGGAACTCTGCAAAAATCAGCTAAAGCAAATACCCACCTTCCTCCCACCTGGCCTTGAAATTTTAAGACTCGCTGATAACTCCATCAATGCTCTGCACGCATCTGATTTTGCAGACTTAATGAAACTAAGGGTGCTTGATCTTCGGAACAACTTGATTGCAACTGTGCCTCCGAGTGCATTTTCTTCCCTTTACAATTTACAGAGTCTGATCCTGGATGGCAATAACATGGAATCTGTATCTGCACCACTTAGGCTTCCTAGGCTGAAGTATCTGAGCATGGCTGATAATAAACTGAATTCGTTCCCAACCAACTTCTTTGCATCTTTCCAAAGTCTACATTTTCTCAGCTTAAGTGGTAACTTTCTGACAAAAGTGCCTCTTGACCTACCTAAATCCCTGCTGTCACTAAAATTAGAGAAAAACCAACTTAAAATGGTGAGACTTCGAGATGTGAAACACCTTGAAAATCTGTCTGAGTTCCTTCTCTCAGAAAATCAGCTGACATCAATAGATGGTGCCCAGCTTCTTCCTAACTTAACAACACTGGAGCTCTCTAAGAACAAGCTCCACACTGTGCCCCTCAGGCTGCCCGGCAGGCTGCAGAAACTTGACTGCAGCAATAACCTGATCCAAAGGGTGACAGCACAGGACTTTCAAGGACTCCAAAACCTGAAGCACTTGTTTCTCGACAACAATGCTGTCAGCACGTTCGAGGCGGGAGCTCTCCAGCAGTGTGCGCAGCTTTCCAATCTGGCACTGGAACAGAATCTCCTCAGTTCTATTCCGCTGAGGCAAGTGAATCTCAGGACAGCTGGTTCTAAGGTGTCATCTCTCCTTCCCTGCATTATGAGAGCCAAAAATTGGTATTCAGACCCAGTCACGGTAGAAGTCTGTCCATACCATAAACCCATTGCCATAACTAGTACTAATTAGCACTCCTGTTAGCAGTCTCAGAGTAGAGCTGCTCTCATTACATCTGTGGTCCCCAATGAATCTGCTCATTTTGCATCTCCCTGCCAGTGAGACCACTTTATTTAATTAGCACACCAATAAGAAGAACCTGCTAGGAGAATGCAACAGACTTACTACCAAGGTTATACTGCTACTTAGATTTACCTTCCCCCACAAAACAAAAATAATTAAGCATTTGATAAAGTATACTGAAGATTTCATAAAGGATAGACAGCAATTTTAAAGCTGATGTTTCTACCAAGCCACACCATGTTAATAATTATTAAAATATTAAGATTTTGAAAGCAGAATCTGATTAAAAAAAACCAAAACTGCTTTTTCAGTGATATTTGCATTCCCAGCTTCATTAAATTCACACATTACCAGGTATTTGGAATGCATCTAAAGTCTCCAGCTTCAGGCTATAAGAAAAATTCCAGTCAACAGAGCACAGAAGAAACATCCCCTGGGCACATTGTGTTCATTAATGCTCTGCTTAGAGGATCTCTTACATTCATCTCAGTGTTGGAACAGGCCATTATCAGAGATGGCATATTAAGCCAAATGGAGGCTGTTCTGATATAAAGTGGTGATTTTATTATTACAAAAGGCTGTGCAATAAGATGGAATAAAAATAGTAAAGTAATTCCATTAACATCAACTTCTTTAAGAAAACTGGACTGTTAAACTTTATTTTTATGGCTTGTAGACAGGTTTAACTAGCTTAAATAAATAATGCAGTAAAATTTCAATTAATTTAGTATCGTGTCCTTTAGCATTTGAATCTATTTGGCAACAGCTTTATAATCAGAAACTGATTTAGTGGTGTATAAATATTTGATTTCAGTCTAGCTTGACAGGAATGTTTAATGCTTTGTAGTTACTTTAGTATTGTCTAATCCATCTTAATTTACAACATTGTAGGCAAGAGAATGAACAGGAAGGAGTTCTCTACTAGCTTTTAAACAGTATGACTTTTAAGGAGATATTGGAGACCTTTCATTCCAACAGTAAATACAGATTTCCAGGGAGAGGTGTAAACATAAGAGAGGTGAAAAAATGACAAGAAATTAGACTTACATACTTAATTTAATTGCCTGGTGATGACCAGGTACACATAGATATACAGAAAAAGAAATTACTACTTTTGACTCCTGAGAACTCTGTCAGGTGTAAAATACTTTTAAAAGATATGACTGATGTGCTAAAGTGAATAGGTCTTAGCAGTTTTTTTGCAGAAATGAGGAGAAAGAAAGCTCCTTTCCCTTCTTTTCTGAAAAGAAAATAATCCACAAGTCCAAGGACTGTTAGAGAAGACCTGTACTTCATAAAATCCTACAGGGTGTGGTGAAAATGCATGGAAGAATCTGATGATATTCCTTAGAGTGGGACTAGCACAGTGTGGCTGCTATGGTCAGCTCCCAAGTGAGCACGACTCCTCTTCCAGCTGCAGGGCACTCAGACATGAACTCAGTGGCATTACTTTCTCTAGATCAACACAGCCTGAAGTCAAAAAATGTAGCCATAAAGTTTAAGTCTAACCTTAGTACAATAAAACTCTTCACAGGTGGTGAAGAGTCATGGACATGCTGGTCAGGCTTTGGACTGTAATCAGTCTGGAAAAATGTCTCAGGTGATTTCCCACTGCCTTTGACATCAGTGGCACTAGGGTTTTACCCCAGAGTACCCTTCTGGCATTACAGTGTCATATTGGGCAATTGTCTGCAGTTGTTTCAAAACCAATTTATTGCAGACATAATCATTTGGTAAGGTCAGATTTTGTGAAGTGAATCACATATGTGAAATTCTCATCTCCCCAGGAAAAACAGCACAATACAGAAATACCCAACTCTTGATATAGTAACATTGAACTTGTCAGGTTTTCACAAATCTGGAAACCATCTTTCAGCTTAAGAGGTTCAAACTTGGCTTCACAAAAAACAGTGAGTGAAGGTCACTGACTACCCCATAACTTTACCAGTTGTAGTATACTGCTGTTCTATTCTAAATAGATCTTGGTAATATGATAATCATTTCCCTGAGTGGTTCAGTCAAGTTTCCTTAAAATCTGTAACCTTGACTCTTAATTTCATCACCTTGCATACTACTGTGGTAAGGTGATTTTAAGTTACTTTCAAATTAGTCTTATTACAGGTATTCCATGCCTATGCTTTTCTGTTAAGCATTTGTCATTGACTATATCAGAGAGAAATGAAAAGATCATAAATGAGCAAGACTTTTGAAATTAAGGTATTTTCATATAAATTTGTAATGTATATGAAAATAAGAATTATACTGACCTGTCCAGTATCATATCCAGAGAGTATCACCTTTTTCTTTTCTTCTAAATATAACCAGTTCTAAGTCTCAAAAGTACTATTTTAAAAGCATGTATATTTTCCCTGTTGCTGAACAGCTTATCATCAGATGGATTACTGCTGTGATGATTAATGTTTGAGTCTTATGGGAGCAGGAGAAAATGGAAAAATGGAAAAAGTCTAATTCTTTATCAACTAAAATATGTTTTTAAACAAATCATATATAAAAGTAGTTGAAGTGCTGCCATAATTGTCTAAACTTTTGATCTTTCATGGTGCTATAGTTTGGTTATCGGCATTGAAGAGTACAAAAAATATTTTTAAACTTGACAATCAATTAAACAGCTGATTTCCTTCATAATACAGAACAAGACTGCTGTTCAGTTCAGCTGCATAGACAGTCAGTACAGGTCAGAACTGCAGTGATTTGAGAAAACATTTCAAGGGTGTACACAAAGTACAGCTATAAAATATAAACAAAGAACAAACAAACAAACCCAATATGAACACCTGTTTTTGCAGAAGATTGCAATTTTTTGTGATAGCTTTATTTGAATACATCAGATGTGCCTGGACAAAATACCCACCACCAAATATCACTTACAGAAACAGTATGATGTACATAACACCTTTCTATTGTTTTATTTTTGTTCAGACTTCCAGACACCCTTGCTAGATTGGATCTAAAAGGAAATGACATAGAGGATGTTGGAGAACAAGAGCTGAAAGACTTGAAACAGCTTCAGGTTTTAAATTTACGGAATAACAAATTATCTCTCTTGGATCGCAAAGTCTTGGAGTATTTACCTCGCCTTCGTCACCTGTATTTAGATGGAAACCCTTGGAACTGCACCTGTGACCTTTTTAGAACCAGGAGAGCTCTGGTGGCCAAAGGGACGGATGTCTGGGGAGGGCAGTGTGCAGCGCCAGCACAAAGCCGAGGAGAAAGTTGGATGTCTTCCAAAAAGATTCTGCAGCAGTGCGAAGACAATCTGTCTTCTACGGAAAGGGGCAAAGAGGACAGAAAGAAAATGAAACCCAATGAGGCCTCCAGCATTGGAGTGAACACAGATGATGATTACTATGATTATGAATTAGATTAATGTCACAGTTTATCTTTAGTGAACCTTAAAGTTGTCTAGAGCTGCCCACTGCTGCCAGTGTCTCTACTGACAAGCAGTCTTCTCATCTGTCATTGGCTTTTCCTGCTCTATTTCTACTACAAGAAATAATAGCCAGTGACAGAAGGGCTACAGAAGGCTGTCACTGTGAATTAAATATTGTAAAAAAAAAAAAATTGTTTTTCTATACCATTGATACAGTGTAGTTTGAGGGAAGCAAGAATACAATTACTATCTCTTAGAAAAGCAATCTGTAACTCTGTATGAACCTTTTTATAGTAGAACATTCCTTATAGTTGCATAAAACCCTCACAAATAAAATTCTGCAATATCACAAGACACATTACTAAGAGTCTGGCATTCAACACATTTAAACTCATGGATCTGCAGGCTGACTTGGAGAGTTATACTGATGTGAGCAATTCTTTGAGATTGTTCAGAAATTCTTGCTTTTGAGAAACTGATTTCAGTTTTCCTGAAACTTTCCCCTTTTTTGTTTATCTTAAACTATTTTAAGTGATATTAGACTAAATTAGCTGAGCTGCAGGCAAAACACAGAAGGCTTATCTTCATCACAGCAAGTGAAATAAACAGAAGAATTAGTATCCTGTTAATGAGATTTAATAGTAGTTCTGAATGTAATAGTGAGGAATGAAAACACTGGGTTCAAGCTGACCTGATTCTGTTGTAAACAAAAGAAGGTAGATTCTCAGGAAATAGATCCTGGCAAATATTAGGATAAGATGAAGTGAGTTGAAGGTTTTGTAAGAGTTTATTTTGGCATCTGAATAGCTAATTTGCTACAATATAGCTCAGGTTAGGTATACTTATTGTGGTTAAGTATAGGTTAGATTAGGTATTACTTTTAGGTTAGGTATACTTAACGTGCAAGTACACACTGCAAGTTTCCCCCTTCACTAGCCAGAACTTTCCAGACTTTTATGCACATACACACAAAAAATGACTAAATGCTATATAATTAATGCATTAACTGATATATGTACAAATTTTATCAAGCAGTTCCTAAAGAGCTTGAAAACTAAACAAATATGGATTAGTGAGACCACTAAAACCAGTGACTTGCAAACAATCACTTGTTAGTTTGTGATGTCAGGTGATAACTGATGAGTAATTACATCAGCAAATTACTTTTCAAAGCCAACAGTTTCCATTACTTTTTATCTCCCTTTAGCATTCAGTAACTGAGTAATCACTCATCTCCACAGAGGCTGATTTGTCAGGTGTCAGAGTGCAGCTATTTGGTTATGTCTCTTACGCAAATGTGATTGACATGTGCATTTCTTAGGTCCCCCAGCACATTAAGCTATGCAATTGGAATAGAAACACCGGAGCATATTTTTCTTTATGTTTCTTTATCATCAGACTCTGCAGAGGGATCTGCACAGGTTGGATCAATGGGCTAAGGCCAGCTGCGGGAGACTGAACAAAGCCAAGTGGCATGCCCTGCCCTGGGGTCACAACAACGCCCCAGTTCTACAGGCTGGGGCAGAGGGTCTGGAAAGCTGACAGGCAGAAAAGGACCTGGAGGTTCTGGTGAACAGCTGGCTGGGTAGCAGCCAGTGTGTGCCCAGGTGGCCAAGAAGGCCAATGCATCTGGTCTGTGTCAGCAATGGTGCAGCCAGCAGGACCAGGGCAGTGAGTGCCCCTCTGTACTGATGAGGCCACACCTTGAATGCTGTGCTCACTTTTGGGCCCCTCACTACAAGAAAGACATTGAGGTGCTGGAGCCTGTCCAGAGAAGGGAAATGGAGCTGGTGAAGGGCCTAGAGGCTATGAGGAAGAGCTGAGGGAGCTGTGGTTCTTTAACCTGGAGGAGGCTTCAGGGGGACCGATCACTCCCACCACTCCCTGAAAGGAGGTAGTAGCAAGATTGGGGTCAGTCTCTGGAAACAAGTGAAAGGACCAGAGGAGATGGCCTGAAGCTGCACCAGGGAGGTTTAAATTGGTAATTATGAGACATTTTTTCATGGAAAAGCCTTGTCAAGCATTGGCACAGACTTCCCAGAGAAGTGGTGGAATCACCACCTTGGATATGTTCAAAAGATGTGGATATAGCACTTAACAATATGGTTAAGCAGAGGACTTGGTAGTACTGAGTTAACAGTGGGAGTTGATCTTACAGGTCTTTTCCAGCCTTAATGATTCTATGGTTCTGTGGTCAGTCACACAAATGTTTGGTACCTAAAAATTTAGATATTTGTGAAACAGCACAAGCCTTCATTGCAGTTTAACTGTGTTATTTTTGCTGGCTAATGCTGGTCGGTATTAGAAACCAGGAAAGAAGTTATCTTCTGAGTAAGAGAAATACTTTAGCAATACAGAATTCTTCGTTCAGTTTTATATTGGCAGATTCTTTTAACAGAGTGCTTTAAATACCTCCGCGCCGCCTCTGCCCTCCGATCTGTCTGACAGCACCGGGCTGGCACTAGCTCTCGCTTCATCTTTCACCTGCGGCGGTGTTTCCAACTTCGGCCCCGCATGCCCTAATAAACCAAGGCAGCAAAAGCCTGGAGCCGCGGCTTTTGCGGGAGGCAGCAGATCGGGGTGCGCGGGTCCGGGCTGCGCTACCCCCGCCTCCCCAGCCCGCCCCGCGGAACCGCCCGCGGGGCGTTCGCAGCGCGCTCTGAGCCTGAAACCCGCATTTCAGTAAAGACAGCCCCGAAACCCGGCTGCTCCTGCGGCGGTCAGATGCTGCCTCCCCGCACCCCTGCTTCACACACCAGCGTGAACCAGGCGCTGCGGGCGCCAGGGATCGCAAGGCTGGGAAGGGCAGAGGGAGGGTCTGCGGAGAGGTTGGGCAGAGGGGGAAACAGCGGGGAGGCTGCGCAGAGCCCGGCCGGGGCCAGCTCCCGCCCCGCTCCCGTCCCGCTCCCGCCCCGCTCCGCCCCGCTCCCGCCCCGCTCCCGCCCCGCTCCCGCCCCCGGCACCGCAGGGCCATCGCCAGCAGCGGCCGCCAGGGGGCGCGGCGCCGCCCCTCCCGTGGGGCGCTCCCGCCCCGAGCCGTCCCCAACCCCGCCTCCTGTCCCGGCCCCGCCCTCCCCTTCTCTCGCGGCCACGTCATTCGCGCTCCGCTGGCGGAAGTGGCGTCATCCGCCCGGCGGCCAATGGGGGACTGGCGTGTGGCGGGTTGAGAGGTGAAAGATCAGGCGGGGCGGCGGGAAGATGGCGGCGCTGGCGGTTGCCGGGCGGGGGACGCGGGCTCCGTGAGGGGATGGCGCGGCGGGCGGCGCGCAGCGGCTGAGGCTCCCCCGCCGCTCCCCCGCGGGCCCCGCGCGCTCCTGTCGGTCGGTCCCATGAGCGGGGCGGGCGGTCTGGCGTGGCGCGCGCTGCACGCGCTGGTGCGCGCCTTGCTTTGCCTGCAGCGCGCGCTGCTCGCGTGCCTGCGCGGCCGCGCGGCCGCCGCCGCCGCCACCTCGTGCGCGCTCCTGGCGCCCGCCGCCCGCGCGCTCGGCTTCCGCGAGGCGCGCGCGGCCTGGCGGCGGCGGGGCCCCGCGCGCGGCGGGGCGGCGCGCGGGCGGCAGCGGTGGCGCGCGGACGGGCGCGCCCTGCGGAAGCTGCCGGTGCACGTGGGGCTGGTGGTGACCGAGGAGGAGCCGAGCTACGCCGACATGGCCAGCCTGGTCGTGTGGTGCATGGCCGTGGGCATCTCCTACGTCAGCGTCTACGACCATAACGGTGAGCGGCGGCCGGGCTGCCCCGAGTCCCAGTCCCTGGTGGTGCCCGCCCTGGGAGCGCCTCCTGGCGTGGAGCCAGAGGGACGCGCTGTTCCGGGGTTTGCCCAAGTCCGGTCCAGTCTCTCTGCTGGCAGCTCCTTTCCCATCCGCTGGAGCTGCTTGGCCGCTGCAGAGCTCCTGGCCCCGGGAAGGCCGGGGAATGGTCCAGGTGCCCTTCTGGTCCAGCTCGTGTGTCGGGAAGACCCAGTCCTGCCTGCTTTCTAGAGCCTTGACCACAGCCTCGGGCTGACAGGAACTGCTGACACGTGAAGGTGTAGGGCAGGGACTGTAGGGAAGAGCTTTAGGCAGCCTGCTCTTAAGAGTGCTGTTTATGAGCTGGGGCTGAACTTCCAGAAGCGAATGAATGAAAGTAGCCTTCTATTTTCAAGTACTCCTATTTGAAGAAACGAGATGGACAAGTAGTTAAACTTGCTAGTTAAACAAGCATGGATGTCCTTTGTGCTGTCTGTATTGTGAAATTAAATTACATTATCTGCATTTGGTCCTGCTTGGCATTTGAGTTAACTCTGAGCCTGTGCTTCTGGAAGCTCTGGTGTTTTTTCATATCTGCTGTGTGGTTTTATTTATTACTGAGTCTCAGGTGTTAAACCATTGAACTCTGGCTCTTGCAGGTATGTTGATTCCATGTCACTTACTATCATAAAGATAAGATCAGAGTTTGTATTTCACATACTGTGAGGAAATAGTGGAACAAATCTGACTTCCTCATACCTGTCCTTTCCTAGAGGGGAGCTAAAACCAGCCATATTCAAGATACTCTTAGTTGAAGCTTTCTGTCCAGCTACTGAGAGATGATCTCTGACCTGTACTGGATAAGTTGTCAACTCAGAAGGGGTAACAGTACATGATATGGACAGTGTCCTGTTTCTGTCCTGCAGAGGAAAACTTCCAATGGCTGTTTAGCAATGTCATGCAGTTTAGGTGAACTGTGTAGGTTAGAGGTACAGTTGTCTTCTAGTGCTCTTTCACGAAATGTCCAGCAGTGCATCCCACATAAGTAGGAGAAATCTTTTGTTGTCAAATGTGCGAAAGCATCTGAGGTATGTAGGCCTTTCCTTGAGCATAGGTGTTTGTGATTTTTAAAAATTTTTACTTTGTTTTAAACCATCACTATTTATAGTTCTGTTTCATGGTTGATCCTTCCTATGTCATTAAAGACTTGGAAGACTTGACTTTCACTAAATTACTCTAGGGTCATTATGAAAAACTGGGCTCAATAGCAGTTGTCTAGCAGTTTAAACTGGCCATCTCTGCAGGGCTCTTGAGGAA